TGCAGTGTCTCTGCCCCCCCCGCCAGATGCAGAGGCCTTGCATCTCTTGTGCCCAGCTGCCACACACTGACCGTCCGGGTTCACCGCACGCTAGACGAGACCCAGCTGGAGGGGGGTCGTCTGCCGTTCACCCTCCTGTGGGAGCTGAGCTGCTGTCTTGGCCGGCTGGGTGAAGCAGGGCGCCTCGAGCTGAAGCTCAGTTTGCTTGGGCCCGGCAGCCACCGTGAGGCGTCAGTCAGTCCGAGCTTAGGGTTCAGCCGCTTGTGCAAACCCACCCTTGGGGGGTGTCACACAACGAATGTTGGGAACGTTAGTCCAGGACAGCCGGGAAAGGCCACCTTGGGAGGGGAGAGGCAGCCCTGAAATCCCGGCTGCTGGGAGGGGGACGGGCTCTGGCCCCAGCCCAGCCGGCCGGCCGGCCGTGATGCAGCAGCTGGACCAGACGGCTTCAGGACCGATCCAGCCTCGGGGCTCTTCCGCAGACGCGTCAGTGACCTCCAGCGCAGCGTGTCTCCGCCTCGGCCATTGAAGGCGTGCGGACCTCGCCTCCCAGAATTCCCCAGCTAGCAAAGGATTCTGGGAGGTGCGCGGCCTGCCCATCTTCAGCGCTGAGAAACGCTGCTCTGAAGGGCTATTGGCAATGGTCTGGCTGAGTCGCACGGGGTGCGGGTGGTTCCCACAACGCATCACCACCCAGTCGGGAGTACTGGGCGGCCGTGTCCGTGCCCTCCGCTGGGATCGCCCCGAGCGTGCTTCCTCCTTGCTGCTTTTTGCGGGCGCACTTTGTGCGTCGTGGCAACACGCCCAGCGAGGCCCCGTGGGAGGGGGCGGCGATGTTTTGGCAAGCTGCAGGAATCCAACCAGTGTTTTAGGATGTGATGTGAAGTGGGCCGTCTCATTCAGCCATCGTGGGGGTTAATGGGAACATTAGTCCAGGACTTCCTCGAATGGTGGCAAGGGGCTGCCTCCTGCGAAGGCCCAGCATGCAGGAGATGCAAGGTGGCTGAGCTCTCCTGCCCCCCAAACTGGCTCCTGGGAATGCCTCTTCCTTGGCTCCTCGGTTGCTCCTCTCCTCACCACCAGCCTTCTCTGCAGACCAGGAGCAGAGCCCTGGGGTTGCTGGCCGCTCCTTCCTCCAGCGGTTGATCTGCCAGCCCTGGTTTCCTCAGCCCTGCTGGGTGTCTGAGTCAGCTGCAGCCAGTTCGCTCCTTGGGCTGCTGATGAATCCCAGGGTTGGAGGCTGGGCTGGGCCGGGCCCTTCAAGCGTGTCAGCTGAGGGCATTTGGGCAGTGCAGGGGTTGCAAAATCAGGCATGGTCTGCACAAGGTGGAGAGAGGAAGAGGTGAGCAGTCAGCCTGCTAGAACTGAGGTCATCCGTGGCAATTCTCCTTAATTTCTAGTCTACCAATGATCCTCACTGCCCTTCTCTGAACCTATTCTAGAATGTCTGAATCCTCCTTAACTGGGGATAATGCTTGAGGTGGATCTGCCCACTGTAAAATGAAGGGCAGCAATTGCTTCTCAGGATTTAGAAATATTCTTCTTTTGATGCACCCTAAAACTGCCTTTGCCTTTAGGATGTGATCAGTTACTGTTCCAGGGGGTTTTGTTCGGTGCACACTATTGATAAGCAAGCCAGTACTTTTTTTTTTTTTTTAAACATAAAGATCTTTGCATTTATTTCTGTTGCATTTCATTCAGTTATTTTTGTCTGACTGCTCTATGGAATCCAGAACATTTGAATCTTGTTTCTGCCTTGGCCTCCCGCGTAGCCCTGCGTCATCTGTAAATGTCCTCCACTTCTGCGTATCTTGCAAGGAGCCCTTTGACCCACTGCCCCCCACAAGCATGCTGTGCGCCCAGATGTGCGTGGGGATGTTGCATGGGTGTCCCCCCGTCAGCCAAACCGCTCTCAGGCCAACCCGTTGCGCGTGCAGCCTCCTTTCTGCCTACGCACGTGCGAGCGGGTTACCCTCTCTGGATCGTCTTCTCTGGCCGGGGGCCCTTGGGGAGCGTGATGGGGATGGCGGAGGTGAGGTGACTGGAAGTCCGCTTCTTGCGTTCCTGCAAAAATAAAGTTGGGGGCAGACCGAGGAATCGGGAGATGGCTGAAGTAATAGGGGCATTGCTCTTGCTCTCCCTGCTCAGGCATTGAATGTCCCCGGGGAGCCCGAAACTTGCCAGGCCTGGTCCAGGAAGCAGAACCCTTCAGCGAAGAAGCGATGCTCTTCACAAAAGAGCTGGTGCTGCAACGAGAGGTAAGAAGGGGGAGGGGGGTCTGTCGTCTGTGCCCGCCCTCCGGACTCATGCAGCTGGAAGCAGCCAGTGGAGATCCAGAAAGCCCCATCCTGCCTGTGCCCACCTGAGCGGCTTTCCCCGTGGGGGCATCCTGCCTTTCCCCGTCGGGCCTTGATGCGCTTGTGAGTTGTGATGAAAGAGGCTGCCAGGGGCCTTGTCCAGCTGGGGAAGTCCTGCAACCACCTGTATTGCAGCCGTGATGGAAGTCAGCAGCCTGAGGACCTTCCCCAGATTTTTCTGGGATGGGGAGCAGGTTGGCTCTCTGTGAGCTGCTTCCTCATCCTTGGACTACAGGTGTTTCCTGCCGTGGCTCCATCATCCTTTCTCCAGAAGGACTGGATAGATCTGCCAAGCTCGTAGGGTCCTGTTGAGAGTTGCATAGGGTGTACCTGTTGCTGCCTACCCCCCAATTAGCCTGGCGTTGACTTCGGGGGGCTGGAGAGGCAGCTCGCCATCCATTGGGGCCGCCTGCTTTGGACAGCAGGCGCAGCCAGCCAGAGGGCTCCGCCTGCCCTCCCTTTATGGGCCACAGGCAGCCACCATGAGTTGCCACAGGCCGTGGCCCAGGACCAGGACCAGGCAAATCAACCCAAAGGGGTCCTTGCTCAGCTCTTGTCGGCCACCGGCTGGCCGTGACTCCCCTGGTTGACCTCTTTGAGGGCCAGCATCATGAGCAGGGAGCGGACTTCTGGGCAGAAGGGGCAGCGCCACGGTGATGGGCATGGGCCTAATGTGGAGAGGGTGGGCGCTCAGGACGTAAGCGGGAGGACTGTTCCTCTGTGGATGCCAAGCTGAGAACGGCTGAGCGTGGCGCTCGCTCGCTGGTGCTTCTGCGTGTCTGGCGGCAGTGGGGGCCGCTGCTCCCACCTCTGAGGCCGGCTTTATTCGCCGAGTGAAGCGCTGCTCCCGTATTTCAGCAGGCGAGCCGGACCGTATGGCGAGTGTTGGAAGCATTTCAACATCCGAGAGTGGGATGCAGGCCTTAGACGCGATTCCCGGTTTCTTCCTGCTTGCTCCTCCCGCAGCTGGTGTTGGGGAGGCAGCGGGGGGGGGCAGAGCCAGAACCGCATCTCTAGCAGTAGCTGAGCTGTGGGACGCGCGCAAGAGACGGAGGAGGGGCATGTAGAGGGGTCTCCTCCTGTGCCGCAGCCAGCTCCTTCGCAATGCAAAGCCAGGCGCAGTGGGCCCCACGGGGCCGATAAAGCTGCAGGCATCCGGCCCACCAGAACGCCCCCCCCTTGACTCTCTTCACTAAGCACCTCCGGTCTTCTCTGTCGGCGTGATGGGAATCCTTTGCGCTCTGCTCACATGAGGGTGGCTACGGGTTCAAACCTGACAAATTCACGGTCAGGGAATTGAAAGGGTCTTGGTTCAGAGCAGCCACTCCCCGCCGGCTCATCCGGCAATGGGGCGCAGAGGGGTGTGGAGCAAACCCTGCCCGGCAGTGGCTTTCTTTGGCAGCCCTGGGGAGCGGAGGGGCGGTCTGCTTTGTGCTGCTGAGGAGAAGGCTGGCTGCTGAAGGAGTCCCGGGAAGTTTTGCGGGACTGCCATCCTTGGCCAAAGGAGAGGGCGAGCGCGTGTCTTTGGTGGGGGGGCAGACAGGAAGCTGAGCTGTCCAGGGAGAGCAGCAGGCTGGGCAGGGAGGGTTTTGGGCTTTCCCTGATATCAGGCAAGTGAGTTCCTGGGGGGGGTCAGCAGTCCCCCGGTAGCATGGATGAGTCACTTCCTTACATTTCATGCTGCTTTCCGCGCTGTCTGCCGGGACCCTCTGTGTCTTCAGAGGGTGGGCCATCCAGGGCCCATCGAATCTGCATCTGGTCATCTACAGGAAGGCCAGTGCCCACCGCCTTCCCCCATCTCCAGCAGCGGGGGCCCTACAGCCTGTGATATAGGAGGCAGGAAGTGGTCCTCAGCAGTAGCCGTGGCACCTCCCTGCACTGGTCCAACCTCCTTTAACACCATCTGAAAAGGTGGCCATCGCCACGTCTGTGCAGAGCCAATTTCAGTTTCCTTGTGGGTTGCTCGCAGAAGACGCGACCCGCCATCCCACTGAAGAAGAGCAGGGGGGTTCGGTATGCAAAGGGCACCCTCTCCCTCCGACCTCCCGAGGAGCCCCTCCCCTCCCCAGCCTGGCTCTTCCTTGCCTCCCGTGTGGCTCCCCCCTTCCCCTAGAGGCAGCGGCAGGGGCAGTGGGGTTAGGCCTTCGCCTGGCCTTCCGACTCGGCTGGGAGGACCTTTCCGCATCTCTGAGTAAGCTGAAGGGGAGCCAAAGATGCATCACGCCGCACGGCCGCTCTTTGCCGTGGCTGTGGTTGGGTGGGGCAGCTTCGAAGGGCTTCAGTCGTCTGCACAAAGCGTTATGCGTCTGTGGCGTTACGCGCAGGATAAAGGAGGCCCTGCACAGCGGTCCCCGAAGGGTTCCCCGGCGGCCGAATCTCCCTTTCGGCAGGGAAAGGCCAAAGCAGTCTTCCGGGCCGGGAGAGGTTCGGTGGTGGGGCGGAGCCAGTCTTACCCCCCAGGGCAGTTTTACTCCTGGCCAGGAAACCTGGGCAGCGTGGCCTCGCTTGAACTCTCCAGCGGTGGCCCAAGCAGGACCGGGCTGTGGGCCCAGAAGAGGGTCCGTGTTTCCTGGCCTGCTGTGGCCGGTGAGAAGGTCAACCTGGAAGAGGTGCTGGCCCGGAACGGAGGAGGGACTGTGGCCATCAGTGGCGACCTGGGAACAACCCCTTGCTGGGCCCCCCTCCCCCTTCAGCTTCCAGCATCCTCAGCCCGCCCTTCCTCACGCTCCACCCGGCAGGATATGCTCCAGAAAGACCCCCAGTGTTCCAGGCACAGAGCCCTTCCTGAGGGGAGTGGGCTGCGGCATCTTCTGGGCCCCGGGGGGGGGCTTACCTGGTTGTTCCTGGGGGGGGGCTCGTGGTAGCTCCTTGTCGGCGCTGGCGGAGTGGAAGGGAGGTGGGGCGCGGTCTGCCCCTCCCCCTAGCCGTGGGTGTGGGGGGGGGAGGTCAGGGGCCCTCTGCCTCCTGCATTCAGCAGCTGGAGGGGGAGGCCAGGATAGAGGCTGTCTGTATTGTAGATAGTAGATGGAGGCGTTTGCTTCCTTTGCACTGTGTCCAGAAGGCCAAGATTTTTGGCTTTTTAGAGTTTTGCAAGATCGATACCATTTCTTGATTAATGCATTCTTCTCGTGAACGAAGCCCTCCACCAGGCTCCGGACATGGCCGCCGTGCCCCGGCCAGCCTGACTCCCAGGCCTGGGTCCTTCTTCAAAACCAGAACATGTGGGGGTGGCTCTGCCTTGTTTTTCCATGGGGGGGCGGGATTCCACTTCTGTATCCCGGTAGGCAACACCCTGCCCAGGTGGGTGCGATAAGACTCCTGTGCTGCTCGGGCTCCCCTCACCAACGAGCATGGGGACGTGCGCACTGTTCTTCTGGGGGTGGGGATGGGCAGCTCGAGCATCAGCTGGCTGTCAGAAGGACTGACTGTCCAGATGCCCCTCTGCTGGGGCACGGATGCCAGCGTCTGTGGGATCCCCTTGGAGTTCCTGCCTCATCGCGGTTGCTGGTGGGTCTCTGCCTGGCCTTGCTGCCCTGTTCGTGGCTGTGCAGGGGGGCCGCCTGGCCTGCATCCCCACCCTGCTCGGCCGTGGGCTTGGCAGCGGAGCGAGGTTCCCTCGGTGCCTCCGGGAAGACAGCCCGCCGCGGCCGATGCAGCATGGACAGGGAGGTTTTAGAAGTGGGTCAGCGCAGCCATTCGGCTGGGCCTTGAGGAGCGGGGGAGGCTCCGCGGATGCTCGCCCCAGCCTGCCCCTGCTCCTTCGGCCTCTGTGGGGGCTGTGGTTTCCCCATCCCAGCCTTTTCCCACCCTGCCAGGTCAGCAGCTGCACAGCCCCTGGGCACGGGGCAGGAGAGCTGGGCTGCGTGGGACTCTGCGCCTTTGCGGCCCTTCCCAGAGCCACGTGGGGGGGCGTGCTGCTGCCCCTCCTGGACAGCCCTTCGGCCCGGCCCTGCTCTCCCCTGGCCTGCAGCGTCCCAGCGAGATCCACGGATGTGCCCCCCTCCCCCCAAGGGACTCATCCCTTACCCGGGGAGGGCTGTGCCCCACGCATCAAGCCCTCTGGACCACATGGGAGGCCCTCAGAGCCCAGGCCAGAGTGCTGCCTGCCTTGAAACGGGGTGGGGGTATGGGTAGTCCCTGGGCTTTCTCCCTGGGTGTGGATGAAAGGCCACCAGTCCCTCAGCAGGAAGGTGGCTTTCCAGAAAGCCTCCCTGGGGGGCAGCGGCCCCCCGTCCCTCCCCGCCCAAGGCACATCGCCTGTGCTGGAGGCTGAGTTGGGCCGGGATCGGCAGGGGACCGCGGCCGCACATCGCAGCCTTCCCTCGGGGCCTGGGCACCCGGTTCACGCTCCTCCCGCCCCCCCGTCAAACGCACGGCTGACCCTCTCCCCACTGCAGCCCTCGTGGGGAAGGGGCGAGATGCCCTGTGCTGTCCCGGCCATGGCCTTTTGCCCGGACTCTCCTTCCAGTGGGGAAGGAGAGAAGTCGCTTACCCTGCCTGCTTCTCGGGGGAGGGGGCAGGTCAGCAGGGGCTGCAGCTCGTCCTGGCCAGGCTTGCACAGAAGCTGATGGAGTCCCTCAGTGCACGGCACAGCAGACCCCCACGAGGGAACCGAGCTCTGGGAGTGCAGCTGATGCAGGGAAGCGGGTTGTGCAAGCAGGGGGCTCCCCCCCTCCCAGGCTGGCAGCTGGCGAGGCAGCTCAGGGTCCCGCCTCTGGGCTGCTGGCCCTCTGTATCCCAGCTGCCAGTTGGGGAGCCAGGGGTGGGCACTGCTAGCCAGCCCACCCCTCCTTCTGTGGGGTACAAGAGCAGGCACTGTGGGGAGGGAGGGTTAAGCCACTCATCAGCCACTTGTGCAGCAGCAGTGGGAGGTGTGGGGAGATCGATAGCCATTCCGCCATTTCCTTTATTGATCACTATGGCTGGGAGCACCGCCTGCCCCCTTATCGTCACCAAGACTCAAGCCATTGTTGTTGGTGCCAGGGAAGAGGAAGGGGCCTCCCAGTGGATCAGGCTCCCTGGCA